GAAAAAGGTAAACCGGATGGTATTTTGAATTGATTTTGTTATGTAAGCCTTTTTTCAGAAATCATATATATTAATGTTATGTAGTTATGCATTGTAGTATGAATGAATGTTGTTTTGTATTCTTTGTTTTATAGAATATATATAATAATGTTATGTTACTAAGCAAATTTAATAAAATTAGAAAAAAAGAGAGATCTCTTTCTTGCAAACCCAAAGACCCAAACACACACACACACACACACACACACACACACACACACGTTTCTGTTTGGCTCAGCTTGCACACCCTTCTCCACTAACCTCCCAGCCCTGGCTTGGCCACTGAGACGATCAGCCCCACGAGAAGGCAGAGGGATGGGAACTGCATGGCGCTGCATGGAAGCGGCTGGCCTGCCCGGGGTTGGACCGCCTTGGGCTATATATATACATTGGCCTGGCGGACCTCCCTCCCTCTCTGCCTTCCCAGGAGAACAGGGGGCGCTTGCACAGGAGTTTCCCATCTGAGCCAGCGGTGGGTCCCTGCCAGCATGAAAGCAGCCTCTTCCCTCCTTCTCCAGGGTTTTGTTATCCTGGTTCCCGGCAAGCCACGATTTCTCATCTTCAGCTGTCACCGTGACATGAGCAGAGCTGCTGGGTCAAGGCCTTGAAGCAGCAGAACACAGGCCCAGGGAGGCCTGAGCACTGAGCCGTGGAAACACAAGAAGTGCTGGAGGAGATGACTCTGTCGTGCTTCTGAATTCCAGCTGCTGGAAACCGCAGGACGGAAGAGAGTTGCTCTTGTGCTCAGATTCTTCTTGCTGGTTTCTCATAATGGGCATCTGGTTGGCCACTGGGAGAACTGGATGCTGGACTCAGTGGGACCGGGAATCTCCCCTACCTAACCCTGAAATGTTGATGCCAGTCAGTGCAGACAATACCGAGGTGGATGGACCAATCCTCCAATTCAGTATAAGGCAGCTTCCTATGTATGTTTCTACACAGTAATACTAGAAATATGGCAAAAATGTAGTTCTGTTTTGTTGTAAACAAAACCTGCCCTTTTTCCCTTATGGGGTATCCAAGAGCCCATATAGAGTCCTTACGTGGGTTCCCTATTGGTAGGAGAAAATAACAGAGGCCAACCAGAGAATATTGAGAAGCAAAGCAGCTAGCAAGCCTGATCTTTATTGATCTGTTGCAACAGGGTCCTCACTCACACGAAGGAAAGGAGGAGGACCCAGAACCAAGGTGTGCCCGCCCTTATAGAGACATTTTAAATTCCCTGCCCTGGAGCTCCAGACCACCCCTCCATACATCATACCTACATCACAGAAGGGGTGTAACCCAAGACCACCCCCCACAAACATCATATCTACATCACAGAAAAGGTGGTCTACAACAGAAATTTGAATGCTGTTGTTTTTCCTGTCTGCCAGGTTATCTGATAATGCCTTATCTGATTGCCTTTCCTGGTAGTCTGGCCATTCCTTTGAGATGGTGACTTCCCAGTTCCTGAGACAATGGGAAGGTTCCCTCACCCGCTCCCTCCTTGCAGAGAAAACACTTGGTCAGTTTGGGAGTCAAAGTGGTTTCAGGTCGGTCTTCCTGTGCTGATCTATGTCAGTGCTTGGTTGGTACATTTATGAACATTTATTATATATAAGACCTTAAAATTCTTATAACAGTTTCATTGGAGTTAAGCTGTCTTTGTTGGCAGGAACTGGTAGAGGATGCAGTTAAAATTGAAGTGATTGGGAGGGTGAAGTGATTGGGAGTGATTGCAAGAGATATTTTTCTGCTGCGCTGCTGCCTGGCTGTGTCCATCTGTCACCAGTTGCCTTTCCATTGTTCTCTGCAGTCAGTGAGGGGAGGACAAGAGGAATCAGAGTCGGGTCATGTTGCCAAGGACTGGGGGAGTCCAGAAGCAACAGAGGTTTCCTGCTTTGCCCATTGAATTCCAGGACAATGCACCTCTGCTCCTCCAGCCAGAGGCTACAGAAGCACCTTGCCAAGTTTGCACAGCTGTTGCTCCTACAGTCATAGAATTGAATGATCAAGGCCTTAAATAATAATTTTAGGTTATATGTTAGTGACTAAGTTTTAATTTATATATTTTTAACTGTTGCTATATCTGTAGTGTCCCTGTCATACCTAACTGCAAATTCAAATGTATCCCTATTGTGTTTTATGATTTCCTTGATATTGTATGTGGGCTGGAACTGGTCTGTGACCGAAATAATAAATTCTTCTTCTTCATAGAATTGAAGAGTTGAAAGGGACCCACAAGGGTCATCTAGTCCAACCCCCCTTCTGCAATGCAGGAATCACAGCTAGAAGCTTCCTGGCAGTTGGCCATCCAACCTCTGTGTGGTGTAGTGGTTAAGAGTCACGTAATCTGGAGAACCGGGTTCGCGTCTCCGCTCCGCTCCTCCACCTGCAGCTGCTGGGTGACCTTGGGCCAGTCACACTTCTCTGAAGTCTCTCAGCCCCACTCACCTCACAGAGTGTTTGTTGTGGGGGAGGAAGGGAAAGGAGAATGTGAGCCGCTTTGAGACTCCTTAAAGGGGAGTGAAAGGCGGGATATCAAATCCAAACTCTTCTTCTTCTTCTCTGATGGAAAATCTCCAGTTAAGAGAGTCCAGCACCTTCTGAGGTGATCAGCTCTACTATCAAGTAGTTCTCACTGTCAGAAGGTCTAGTTGGATGCTTAATTCTCCTTTCTTGTTGTTGGAATCCATTGCTTTGGGTCTTCTGCTCCGGAGCAGCAGAAAACAAGCTTGCTCCATCTTCTGCAGGTCTGCCATTTCCTAATGAAGGGCTCTGGGTCTCTTGGGTGCCAGTCAGAGAGGCCGGCGAGGAGGAGATGGACTCAGACGCCACTATGGAAGAGTCCTCTGACACCTCATAGAATTGTAGAGTTGGAAGGGACCCTCGAGGTCGCGAGGAAGAACTTTCTGAAAGTGAGATCTGTTGGGCAGAGGAACCAACTCCCCTGGAAGGTGGCGGATCAAGTATTTTCCAAAGACTGGAGTAAAATTGTCATTTATTTAGAAGACCACCGTAAACAGTTAAAACCTTTGGCAGGGATGGAAAGACGCTTGTAATGTGGAATTGTTGTAATGGTAATTATGGTTATATAATAGCTAGATAAGGGTAAAAAAATGCAGTAAATTTAATCTTAAAGATGGAAGCCATGGAGGGAGAGAAGGAGGTCTAAGGGTTCAAAAGAACTCTGCATTTTGATGTTTGAAATGGCTTTGTTTTATATGCATTCCCCCCCCCAAAAAAAAACAATTAAAAAATTATATAAAAAAGGAAGGTGGTGGTCGATGCTCCTTCCTTGGAGGTTTTTAAACAGAGGTTGGATGTCCAACTGCCAGGAATTCCTTAGTTGTGAATCCTGCCTTGCAGAGGGTTGGACTAGATGACCCTCAGGGCTCCCTCCTGACTACAATTCTATGATTCTGTGATTCCACTGGAAGGGCTATTTGTATTCAGAAGAATCCACCTTTGGGCACGTACCCTCCGCACCCGACACCAGCTGATACCATTTGTGCATTTTCAAATAAACAAAAAACCTTGCCCATACAATGCCCTGGGTCTGGTTTGACCCTCCGATTGTCAGCTTGCAGGCTGGGCCTGTTCCTTGTAATATGATTAATCTGCAGCATTGAACTGTTCCTCTAGAAGCAGCAGGAGTTATTCATCTTTAATTTACTCATGGATTTTTAAAAACCCTCCTCCTCCTCCTTCAAAAAAAGGCGCTTTTCCTTTTATTGCAACCACCAGTAAAAAGAGACCAGCAGGATATCCCTTTTCTCTGGCTCATTTTATTTTATTTTTAATATCTTTATTGATTTAAAATGCAAACATACAACGAAGATAAGTATGGAAACAAAAAACAAATAAGTTTGAAAAGATCAAGAAGAAAAGAGAAGAAAAGAAAAGAAAACCAAGGATTTATACAACATCATATCTATCAAATAAAAATTATCCGGCTCATTTTAATGGATCAGGGCATCATTCCATCGGGACTCATAATACAAAAATCTGGGACCTTCTTGGTCCCTTGGCCCATTTGTGACATTGAGCTGCCACAACAGAGTTCCTGGCTCCAGAGACTGGAAGGAGGAGCACCTTGAGAAACTGGCGACCAGAGAAAACCTGTTGATGCATTTCCACGGCCATGAATAACTCCAAAGAAATGCCGATGCCCACTTTTTTGGCTCGCTTTATGACACCTCGTAATTCAGAAGATAAAGCTTGTTTTTCTCAGATGCAGGAATTTGCCCTCTTCACCTCATGTAGGCATGGTTCCTTATAACCATTTATGTGACGGTGTTTGTATAATTTGTACTGTGAAAACAGGAAAGGGGTCAAACCACCGCAAGAGGTGCTGAAATTTTGGGAGGTTGGATAGTTACAATGGAATGGTCTCGGGGGTGGGGCACACATTTCTATTCTTATTTATTTTTTATTCTTTTTTTTATTATGGAAGTGAAAGCTGGACCATAATGAAGGCTGATCGTCGAAGAATGGATGCTTTTGAATTCTGGTGCTGGAGGAGACTCTTGAGAGTCCCATGGAATGCAAGAAGATCAAACCTCTCCATTCTGAAGGAAATCAGCCCTGAGTGCTCACTGGAAGGACAGATCCTGAAGATGAGGCTCCAAGACTTTGGCCACCTCAGGAGAAGAGAAGACTCCCTGGAAATAACCCTGATGTTGGGAAAGATGGAGGGCAGAAGGAGAAGGGGACGACAGAGGAAGAGGTGGTTGGACAGTGTTCTCGAAGCTACAAACATGAGTCTGACCAAACTGGGGGAGGCAGTGGAAGACAGGAGGGCCTGGCGTGCTCTGGTCCAGGGGGTCACGAAGAGGCAGACACGACTAAACGACTCAACAACAACAACAATTTTTTATTATTACGTTGTCAAAATAAAAAATATATATAAAAAATAATTATTGATGATGATGGTGATGGTGAACATAATCATTTATTATTTATACCCCGGCCATCTGGCTGGGTTTCCCCAGCCACTCTGGATGGCTTTCAACAGAGCATTAAAAACAGAATAAAACTTCAAACATTAAAAACTTCCCTGAACAGGGACATGACATGAAATGTTTTGAAGAATTTCTTCAACTCCATAATTAGCAGGAAACACAGGGCACAGGGGGCACATGTGCAGAACAGAACAACAAACCCTTAATTCTATTGTACATGATAAGAAGCACCTTTAATGTGTTTGCTTGTGGTATATGATCTACATGGCTGCTTTCTTGGCTTGGCTTTCATTCTGAGCCAGGAGGGAGGGACAGGAAGTGGGACCCCAAATCCGAAAGGGAGGTCCTACAGCTTCCTGACACTGTCAGGTGTTGTGTGCATGCACAGAGCGACGGGCGCAGGTGGTCTGGAGGACGGAGCAAGCAGTGGTGACTATGCCATATGAATTGAGGGCTACTGTGCAAAGGGAGAATTTTACTTCAAAAGTGGGTGAGGGACTCCAACGAACATGGTGAAGGTGAAGAGGAGACCAAGTGCCATGAGATGAGGGAGGCCAGTGGTTGTCATGGCTCTGGGGTCGGGGTCTGTGGAGGGTCCCCCACCTCAGGTGTTCCATGGGGTCTCGGCTTCTGGATCTGCAGAGGGAAGATGAGAGAGGGATTAGTGAGCATAACTTTGCTGGAGGTGTGCAACACACTGTATGCGCGGTCTATCCAGAAGATATTTGTGTTTCGAGGAGTTAAGTGATCCGTCAAACCTAGACAGCATCTTAGACAAACCTAGACAAACCTAAACAGCATCTTAAAAAGCAAAGACATCACCTTGCCGACAAAGGTCCGTATAGTTAAAGCCATGGTTTTCCCAGTAGGGATGTATGGAAGTGAGAGCTGGACCACAAAGAAGGCTGATCGCCGAAGAATTGATTCTTTTGAATTATGGTGCTGGAGGAGACTCTTGAGAGTCCCATGGACTGCAAGAAGATCAAACCTCTCCATTCTGAAGGAAATCAGTCCTGAAGCTGAGGCTCCAAGACTTTGGCCACCTCATGAGAAGAGAAGACTCTCTGGAAAAGACCCTGATGTTGGGAAAGATGGAGGGCACAAGGAGAGGGGGGTGGCAGAGGACAAGATGGTGGGACAGTGTTCTCGAAGCTACCAGCATGAGTCTGAACTGTGGGAGGCAGTGGAAGACAGGAGGGCCTGGCGTGCTCTGGTCCAGGGGGTCACAAAGAGGTGGACACAACTAAACGACTCAACAATAACAACAAGTGATCCGTCATGGTTACCCTTCCTGCCCCCTGTTCCTTTCCCCTTCCCTATCTCTTGTTAAGCTCTTTGATGGCTGAGAAACAGCCTTTAATGTCTTAATCTTTTGGAAGGAAGTGATAGTGCTGGGTACCTTCTTTGATGTCGGACATTGTTTGGAGAAAGTGAGGCGCTGGGAGAGGTGGCTAATGAATTATCTGCATGTAGCATGTCGAACAAGCCACGCAGGCTAACAGACTAGCTATCTATAAATCTGATAGTTTTGGGCATAGTTTCTGAGAAGCTCATGCACAGACTGATAGCTGTGGGGCTGTGCAAACTGAGGCTACCTGGGGGAGTCACTTCGCCACTTCTTGAGGGCTTCCAAGTGGCAGACTGAGGCGCTTCCTTGGCATGTATATATTGCTTGCTGTTTAAAACCAAATCTTCAATCTTTTCACTCACTTGTGTTTTGTGTCACTTCTGAATCTCATTTTAAAAGAACCGCCTTGCATTTGGCAAGACACACAACACCATCTCTGTAGATGGTGTTTGTAATGTGCCTGTCCCAAAGGCTGTGCCATTTACAAGGTAGAGACACCTGACAGGAAGGGGACAGAAATGCAAGTGAACAGGGGAAGGACATGGGGTGATTTCAGTTATGTATACAGTGCAATAGCATCTTATGCATGTTTAACTTGAGCAATTTCAACTGTATGCGGTTGAAGGTAGGATGGTTGAAACTGCACAAGTTAAACCCAAGCAAAGCGGAGAAGCTCATTTCTTGCCAGGTCTGCTTGGGTGCATAGAGAACTTTTAAACTCTCTGCTTTGCTGGGGGGCGGGGGCAACGTCTGCTCAGCATGCTACATCTGTGAAGCTCAGAAATGATCTTGCAAGTGCCATATGATTTTCTATGAGATCTCGCACGACCATCCCTAGCCTCATTCAGCATGAATATAGCTTTTAAGCTCTCTACTTTGCTTGTCGGGCAAGGTCTACTCAGTGGACTAGGGTGGAATCTACACACATGTAAAAATAATGGTGTGAAAATGCTTTTTTTAAAAAGGTTTTTAAAAAATATATATATATACATTGAATTTGCCATAGCTCACTTTCGCCATCTAGTGTCACATTTGTATATTGCGATTTGCAACACACTTAAAACGTTTTATTTGCAGCTGTGTAGCTGAGTCCTGGGAACTCTCTGTCTTTGCTTCACCTGCTAGCTGCGAAGGAGCCTCCATCAGATTGCAAAAGTGTGCATCTCGGGCAAAATCACATTCAAAGGTGTTCATATTAGGAGAAACATGAGACCAGCTAAATGAGAAACCAGCAGCAATCAATACTGACAGGTTCACGGAGACCTTCATCTGAAGACCCACAACACAGAAATGATGTCCTCACCCCCCAAATGCTGCTCTTCTGCCACTCACTTACCTTGCTCTCTGGGAGGGACACAGTTCCATTTCTTGCAGCCGCTCATGCAGCACTTCCTGTTGCTGGGACAATCGGAGTCCTCTCTGCACTGATCCCTGCAGATGCCCAGCAGTGATATGATAGGGGGTCCGGAGGGCAGAACCCAGGTTTATCTGCATGGGGAGAGAGGGAGAGCATCAGACTCCTAATCTCAAGGTCGTGGGTTCAAGACCCAAGCTGGACAAAAATAATAAAAATCCTGCATTGCAGGGGGTTGGACTGGATATCCCTCGTGGTCCCTTCCAATGCTACTGTTTGCAGGCATTGCCTGGAGAGACAGGACATCCATCCATGCTGTCTTGGCAGAATTCCAGACGGGTTTCAGGCCGGCTCCTGCACAGCTTCCCCTCCCTCATCCTACAGAAGGAGTGGAATTCAGATTGTGCTCCTTGCAGGAATGCTTCACCCATCAGGAGTTGCTTGCTGCAGCCCACTCATCTCTCTGGCACCTCACCAGCAAATGCTGTTAGCCCAAGTTGCAATCTGAGCATTGGGCATGCTTTTCCTGGACACTCTCCTGTGCGGAGGGGCCCCTGGCCTGGAGACGGGCAACTTGCCTGGCCCGTGCACAATGGCAACTGCCTCCCATCACACCCATGTTGCATCCAGCACCTTAAAGTGCGACTCCTGCAGCGCAGGATTGGGCCCCTTCCAGCTCTACAGTTCTATGAACTTGGCATTGAGGCCCACCTGAGACTGGGTCCTGGGGGCAGGAGAATTGCAGGGGGCAAAGGAGGGCAAGTGTTACCGTTTGGGAGACGGCAAGAGGCCCCGCAGCCCGTCCAGCAGCATTTCTCTGTCCCCGCACAGCTGGCATCGGACTGGCACTCTTCTGTGCAGTTTCCACGGGCCGTCCCCAGCGTTGCATTGGGGCACGTGCCAGCTTTCTCTGCAGCAACTGGAAAAGGCAAAGAGAAGTAGACATTATGAAGAACTTTCGGGCTTTAAAAGCTGTTTGGCCGTGGAACTGCCTCCCTCAAGAGGTTGTGGACTCTCCTTCCTTGGAGGTTTCGGAGCAGAGGTTGGACGGCTGTCTGTCATGGGTGCTTTGGCTGTGATTCCTGCATTGCAAGGGGTTGGAATTAGACAACCCTCAGGGTCCCTTCTAGCTCTACAGTGATAGCCACCTTCAAATATCTAAATGGTATGGGAGATGGAACAAGCTTGTTTTCTGCTGCTCCAGAGGGTAAGATCTGAACCAACGACTTCAAGTTATAGGGAAGGGGTTTCTGGCTAAACATCAGGGAGAACTTTCTGAGGCTGAGAGCTGTTGGTGGTGGACTGGCAGCAGGCCTCCAAGATTCCAGGTAGAGGTAGCTTCCAGTTCTACCTGGAAATGAAACCAGGGATTGAGAAGATGGGTCTTTCTGTCGGCAAGGCAGACACTCCCCCGCTGAGCTTTGGCCCTTCTGCTCCTTTGTCCAGCTGGGCCAGGCTGGAGACAAGGGCTTTCATAGAATCATAGAGTTGGAATAGACCACAAGGGCCATCGAGTCCAACCCCCTGCCAAGCAGGAAATACCATCAGAGCACTCCTGACATATGGTTGTCAAGCCTCTGCTTAAAGACCTCCAAAGAAGGAGACTCCACCACACTCCTTGGCAGCAAATTCCACTGTCAAACAGCTCTTACTGTCAGGAAGTTCTTCCGAATGTTTAGGTGGAATCTTCTTTCTTGTAGTTTGGATCCATTGCTCCGTGTCCGCTTCTCTGGAGCAGCAGAAAACAACCTTTCTCCCTCCTCTATGTGACATCCTTTTATATATTTGAACATGGCTATCATATCACCCCTTAACCTCCTCTTCTCCAGGCTAAACATGCCCAGCTCCCTTATCCGTTCCTCATAAGGCATCGTTTCCAGGCCTTTGACCATTTTTGGTTGCTTTTCTCTCCTTCTCTCCTAGGGACTGCCACCCACTCACACCCACCTGTAACGTTCTGCCCAGGTGTGTCTATCAGGTGAGCTGAGGCTGTGAGAAGCCCCACCAGGGAGACGAGGAGGAGGTGGTGGAAGCAGCTGCTATTCCTGGGCGTCATGGTGATGCTGCTTGCAGAGAAGATGTTGTGGTCTCTGGCTGTTGCCAGCCAAGCTTTAAGCTCTCTCAGGTGTGGCTGGTGGAGGGGAGGGAGGCAGGGAGGTGGGGAGGGCAGAGAGAGGCTCCTGGGCGATGACTGGAGAACAAGGTGAGCCCAGCTCCCTCCTCCTTCCATTGCACAATCGGATCAGGTAACACCCCTGGCTCTGGTGTGAACCAGGAAGCTGGAGGCTCAGAGAGCAGGCTCAGACTCGGGGGCCGATCTTTCCTGAGAAGCACAGCCCAGGCCAGGTGGTTTGCCATCAGCAACCTGGAAGCCCAAGGAATGGCTCTTACCTGTGTTGGCCAGGAGTTAAGGGCTCCCACAAATCCTGTGCTTGCATCTGAGCTGTGAGGGGTTCTCGGGGTGCAGCCTGAGGACCCTTGCAACTTCCATGCAGCTTCTTCTGGGGTGGGACATATCTAATGGTGCAGCAGGAAAGAATTACTAGCCACAGCAGTGCTTCTGAATACTGAGATAGGAATTTTGAGGTCATAATGGTAAAGGTAAAGGGACCCCTGACCATTAGGTCCAGTCGTGGCCAACTCTGGGGTTGTGGCGCTCATCTCGCTTTATTGGCCGAGCTGGCGTACAGCTTCCAGGTCATGTGGCCAGCATGACTAAGCCGCTTCTGGCGAACCAGAGCAGCGCACGGAAACGCTGTTTACCTTCCCGCTGGAGTGGTACCTATTTAATCTACTTGCACTTGGCGTGCTTTCGAACTGCTAGGTTGGCAGGAGCAAGGACCGAGCAACGGGAGCTCACCCTGTCACGGGGATTCAAACCGCCGACATTCTGATCGGTGAGTCCTAGGCTCTGTGGTTTAACCCACAGCACCACCCGTGTCAGTTTGAGGTCTTAGATATATGTTAAATGTTCATAAGTGTACCAACGAAGCACGTACATAGATCAGCACAGGAAGACCGACCTGAAACCATTTTTGATTTCCAAACTGATTTCTCTGCAAGGTCAAAGGAAAATGGAAAAGCCTCCGCATTGTCTTTTCCTTCACAAATCCTGTCTTAAGGGCACATTTAAGATATGAATAAGGTGTGAGCCTGACCTGGCTCAGGAACTAAGTATTTATCATTACAAAAGACTGGCCAGGCTCCCCAGGGTATCCAATCAAGTGACCATTAACAGGTAACCTGAAAAAGTACTCAGATTTCTGCTGTAGACCACCCTTTCTGTGATGTAGGTATGATGTTTCTGGGGGTGGTCTTGATCTACAGAGTGGCAATTTAAAATGTCTATATAAGGGCGGACACACCTGGGTTTTGGGTCCTCCTCCTTTCCTGCATGAGAGGGGAACACCCTGTGCAACAGTTAATAAAGATCAGGCTTACTAGCTGCTTTGCTTCTCAATATTCTCTGGTTGGCCTCTGTTATTTTCTCCTACCGATAGAGGACCTACATAAGGACTCTATACGGGCTCTTGGGTACCCCATAAGGGAAAAGGGCAGATTTTTTTTTACAACAATACCAGCTGTCAGTGACACAGGAGGGGAGAATGTTCCTCTTGTTCTGCTTGTGGGTTTCCCATTCAGACACCTGGTCGGCCCCTGGGAGAACAGGATGCTGGACTAGGTGGACCATTGGCCTGATCCAGCAGGATCTGCTTATGTTCTTAGGAAGGAGAGAGCCTAGACTTGGTGGCTGCAGGTGCTACGGAAGAGGAAATGCCCCACAAGGGTGGTCTTTAAGGTGCCAGTAGAGACATTCCTCTGCCCTCTTTCAGGACATATCCAGAACTTCAGCCCTGTAAAGCTGCAAGGCAGCCTTTTTGCCCCCCCCCTCCCCCACTGAGTTATTGGGGGTGAGGAAAAGCAGAGTTTCAGAGTGGGCACCAGTATTGGCTGAAGAACAAATTCAAGCTTATTTGAAATGGTTGTTGAGTGATTTTTGGAACCTGCTTAGTGTCGGTTGTTAGAGAGCACTCTCTCTCTCTCTCTCTCTCTCTGCTGTCCCACCCCCTGCCCAGACCATGAGAACGGAGGCTCTTACTTAAGAGTAAAGGAGAGATTGAGCAGGACGATCAGGGCTGGGAGCAGCAGCCCACGTTGAAGGAGTCCACAAACAGGGCAAGGAGCTCAGAACTCCAGGGAAGCAAACTAGTTGGCCTCCTAGGAAGGGCAAGGCACATTTCCTCATAGAATCAGAGAATCGTAGAGTTGGAAGGGACCCTCAAGGGTCATCCAGTCCAACCCCCTGCAGCACAGGGATCACAGCTCAGGTGTCCCTCACAGGTGGCCACCCAAACTCTGCCTGAAAATCTCCAGTGAAGGAGAGTCCATCACCTTCTGAAACCATCCATTCCACCATGGCCAGACAGCCGTCAGAAAGTCCTTCCTAATGTTGAGTCGGAATCTCCTTCCTTGCCATTTTAATCCGTTGGTTCGGATCTTCCCCTCTGGAGCAGCAGCAGAAAACGAGCTTGCTCCATCTTCCATGTGGCAGCGCTTCAGAGACTTGAAGTTGGCTAACGTATCGCTTCTCTCTATTGGTTCTTAGGTGGAAAGCCCTATAGGGCCTGGAGAAGCCAAATGGACCTTCCTGGGTCACTGAGGTCCAGCTACGTGTCTCTGCTATGGATGCCTACTGCACTCCTCCCTTTTGGGTCTGTATCATCTCCAGACATTGACCACCAAGGATAGCTCAGTTGGTTTGAATGTGGTGCTGATAACACCAAGGCTGCAGGTTCAATCCCCATGAGAGACAGCTGCATATTTTTGCTTGCAGGGGGCTTGGACTATATGATCCTCAGGGTCCCCTTCCAACCTTGCATCTATATTTCCATGAACCGCAAAACCTTCCCTGCAGTTGAAGACTTTGTGGCCACTTGGAAAACTCCAGAGGTGTGACCCTGGCCTGTTGAGACAGGTGAGTCACACTTTCCTTTTTATGAGAAGGTTTAGCCTCTTCAATGTCACGTAGCTGGGTTGTGTTTGCAGCTAATTTGCATATGGCCCCCCCGGCCACAGTCCCCTATGCAGCACCTCTGAAGCTTAGGTGAGCCACTGCTGCTGCCAGCCAGTGTTGGTGACAAATAGTGCTACATGGACGGTCCGAGGCAGCTTCCAGCATTCCTACCATATTGATGTAGATTTGGTCTGTTGCTTCCTCTGGACATTTTAGCATATACCAGTGGCACTGCTCCTCCGCTTGATCTGGACACTATACTTCTGGATCAAAAGTAGCGTCCAGGTCAAGGGAAGTGATAGTACCGCTCTGATCTGCCTTGGTCAGACCACATCTGGAATATTACGTCCAGTTCTGGGTGCCACAATTTAAGGAGGATATTAACAAGCTGCAAGGTAAGCAGAGGAGGGCGGCCAGGATGACCAAGGGTCTGGAAACCAAGCCTTATGAAGAATGGTCGAAGGAGTTGGGTTTGTCTGGCCTGCATAAGAGAAGAAGAAGAGTTTGGATTTGATATCCCATTTTATCACTACCAGAAGGAGTCTCAAAGCGGCAGTGGTGTAGCGTGGGGGGTGCAGGGGGGCCGGCCGCACCGGGCGCAACATCGGGGGGGGGGGGCGCTCGCCGCCTCCGGAGTCGCCAAAGAGCCTCGGGCGCAGGCTGTAGCAGAGCCCCATGTCTCGCGGAACCGACGAGCTGGCAGCGGCTCTCAGCGCTTGCCGCGGTCCCTGCGCGTCAGGGCCGCGGAGGGCGCGCCAGGCAGCCCCTCCTCACAGCCCCGCCGCTGCCGCTGCTGCTGCAGCAGCTGGGCCATGTTGCATTTTCCTCGCCTCTCTGCCCTCCTCGTCTGAGGTGATCTGAGGCGTCGTTTGGGCGGCAGCGCCAGCGGCAACTCGCCTCAGATCACCTGACACGGACCCGCCGCCGCCGCCGTGGCTACCTTACCGTAAATACCCCAGCCCAGGCAGCAGCAAGAAGAAGCTGGCAGCGACGGCAGGTTAGGGGTTAGGGGGCACAAATTACTTGCCTTGCCCCGGGTTAGGGGGCGCAAATTACTTGCCTTGCCCCGGGTGCTGACAACCCACGCTACGCCGCTGCAAAGCGTCTAACATTCTCCTTTCCCTTCCTCCCCCACAACAAACACTCTGTGAGGTGAGTGAGGCTGAGAGACTTCTGAGAAGTGTGACTGGCCCAAGGTCACCCAGCAGCTGCATGTGGAGGAGCGGAGACGCGAACCCGGTTCCCCAGGTTACAAGTCCACTGCTCTTCACCACTACACCACACTGGTGTAGGAGGAGACTGAGAGGAGATATGATGGTCCTCTTCAAATATCTCAAGGGCTTTCACATGTGAGAGGGAGCAAACTTGCTTTCTTCTGCTCTGGAGGGCAGGACACAAACCAATGGCTTCAAGTTAGAAGAAAGGAGATTCCGATTAAAGCTTGGGAAGAAATTTCTGGTGGTAAGAGCTGTTCAACGGTGGAATGGATGACCTTGGAAGGTGGTGGACTCTCCCTATTGGGAGGTTTTTAAACAGAGGGGATTATAAATCCTCAAGCACCACCAACTTGGGTCCCTTCTGAAGTTTTCCTTCTTCATTTCCCTAGTGCCGGAAGAGCAGCAAGGGAACAGCTCTGTCCCTTTAGGAAATGGGCAGCCTCCACAGTGCAGCCACCTAGTGGCAGGAAACGGACATTGCCTGAAACGGACATTGCCTGCACAGCTGGTAGTCACTTGGGTTATTTCCGTTTTGCAGAAGAGCGACTGGAGGCGTGCAATGACAAGCAAAGTGATATTGGCCAGAAACTGTGGCTCAGCTTTCAGAGGAAAGCAGGGTCTGCTGTCCTGTAAGCACTTGCCCTAACTGGCATTGGACTGGGAATTTTGGGTCTAAGGAAGAGAAGAAGCAAAGTGAAAATGGCTTTGCAAAGTTTCCTGGGCTGCAGGTGCATCCTGTTCCATGATACGGTTTGCAATAAGACTCGCTGCTGGGCAGAACGATGGGGGTGGAGACGCTCCTTCAGGTCTACTGGGCCAAGGCCATTTAGGGCTTTAAAGGGCTTGCCGTAACTTGAAGAGCAAAAAAGAGGACAGACCAAGCTGCTGCCACTCCAAGCTGGGGGAAGA